GGGTGGTATATTCTATATATGTCAATTAAGTCTAGGTTATTAATTGTGTTATTGAGTTCTATAGTTTCCTTATTCAACTTTTGTTTGGAAGGTCTGTCCAGTGGTGATAGAGGTGTGTTGAAGTCTCCCATGATTATTGTATGGTGGTCTATTAGACTCTTGAACTTGAGAAGAGTTTGTTTGATGAACATAGCTGCACCATTGTTTGGGGCATATATATTTATGATTGTTATGTCTTGTTGGTGTATGGTTCCCTTGAGCAGTATGTAGTGTCCGTCTTTATCCCTTTTGATTAACTTTGGCTTGAAATCTATTTTATTTGATATGAGTATGGATACTCCTGCTTGTTTCCGAAGTCCATATGAGTGATATGATTTTTCCCAACCTTTCACCTTCAGCCTATGTATGTCTTTTCCTATCAAATGCGTCTCCTGTAGGCAGCATATTGTTGGGTCTTGTTTTGTGATCCATTCTACTAGCCTGTGTCTCTTGATTGGTGAGTTTAAGCCATTAACATTTAGGGTTATTATTGAGATATGGGTTGTTCTTCCAGCCATATTTGTTTATTTATGTTACTAAACATGGTTTGTTTTCCTCTTTGATTATTTTCCCCCCTTTAGTGTCCTACCTCCCACTGTTGGTTTTCATTGTTATTTTCCATTTCCTCTTCCTGTAATGTTTTGCCAAGGATGTTTAGAAGAGATGGTTTTCTAGCTGCAAATTCTTTTAACTTTTGTTTATCGTGGAAGGTTTTAATTTCATCTTCCATCCTGAAGCTTAATTTCGCTGGAAACACAATTCTTGGTTGGAACCCATTTTCTTTCAGTGTTTGAAATATGTTATTCCAGGATCTTCTAGCTTTCAGAGTCTGTGTTGAAAGATCAGCTGTTATCCTGATTGGCTTACCCCTAAATGTGATCTGCTTCCTTTCTCTTGTAGCTTTTAAAATTCTCTCCTTATTCTGTATGTTGGGCATCTTCATTATAATGTGTCTAGGTGTGGGTCTCTTATGATTTTGCACATTCGGCGCCCTGTAGGCTTCTAGGATTTGGGGTTCTGTCTCATTCTTCAAGTCTGGGAAGTTTTCTCGTATTATTTCATTGAATAGATTGCTCATTCCTTTGGTTTGAAACTCTGTCCCTTCCTGTATCCCAATGACTCTTAAATTTGGTCTCTTGATGTTATCCCATATTTCTTGGATGTTCTGCTCATGGTTTCTTAACAGTCTTGCTGAGCTGTCTATGTTCTTTTCAAGTTGAAATACTTTATCTTCATTGTCTGATGTTCTGTCTTCTAAGTGTTCTACTCTGCTGGTAGTATTCTCAATTGAGTTTTTAAGTTGGCTTATTGCTTCCTGCATTTCTAGGATTTCTGTTTGTTTTTTATAACCTCTATTTCCCTGTATAGTTGATCTTTTGCTTCTTGGATTTGTTTATGTAATTCATTGTTGAAGTGATCTTTCATTGTCTGATTTTGCTGTCTGATGTCTTCCTTGAGACTCCAGATCATCTGAAGCATGTATATCCTGAATTCTTTATCTGACATTCCATCTGCTGCAGCTATTACCTCTTCTAACGTTGAGTTGACCTGCAATGCTTGTGGTCCTTTCTTTCCTTGTCTCTTCATACTGTTCACGTTCCTTTCTACTTGGTGAAACTGTTGTGCTATTGAATTTTCCCCCTATATATTTATATTAGTCTTGTATAGTTGCAAAGTCGCCCTCGCAGGCGCGGGCGGCGGCTCTGTCCCTCTGCGGGCCGCTAGGCTTGTTCTGTCGGTGGTCACAGTTCTGTCTACTTTGCAGGCACAGGCAGCGGCACTGCCCCTCTTCAGGCCTCTGGGGCTGTACTGCCAGTGGGTCGCAGGTGCGCCTACCCTGCAGGCGCGGGGGGGGGGGGCGGCTCTACCCTTCCTCAGGCCACTGGGCCTGTTCTGTCTCTCGGTTGCAGGTCTGGCCTGTTCTGATGGTGGTCACAGTTCCGTCTACCTTGCAGGCGCTGGGGGGAGGGGGCAGCTCTGCCTCTCAGCAGGCCGCTGCTCCTCTTCTGCCGGTGGGTCGCAGGCCCCCCTACCTTGCAGGAGTGATTGGAAGCTCTGTCCCGTCGCGGGCCACTGGGCCTTTTCTGTCCGTGGTCACAGTTCCACCTACCTGGCAGGCGCGGGGGGTGGGGGGCGGCTCTTCCCCTCAGCAGGCCGCTGGGCCTGCTCTGTGCGTGGTCACAGTTCCCTCTACCTTGCCGGTGCAGGGGGAGGGGGCGGCTCAGCCTCTCAGCAGGCCGCTGCTCCTCTTCTGCCGGTGGGTCGCAGGCCCGCCTACCTTGCAGGAGTGATTGGAAGCTCTGTCCCACCGCAGGCCACTGGGCCTTTTCTGTCGGTGGTCACCTGGCAGGCGCGGGGGGTGGGGGGCGGCTCTTCCCCTCAGCAGGCCGCTGGGCCTGCTCTGTGCGTGGTCACAGTTCCCTCTACCTTGCCGGTGCAGGGGGAGGGGGCGGCTCTGCCTCTCAGCAGGTCGCTGCTCCTCTTCTGCTGGTGGGTCGCAGGCCCACCTACCTTGCAGGAGTGATTGGAAGCTCTGTCCCGCCGCGGGCCACTGGGCCTTTTCTGTCCGTGGTCACAGTTCCACCTACCTGGCAGGCGCGGGGGGTGGGGGGCGGCTCTGCCCCTCAGCAGGCCGCTGGGCCTGCTCTGTGCGTGGTCACAGTTCCCTCTACTTTGCCGGCGCAGCGTATATTTTTAAATAAAGGATTACAATGCCTACATCCTTGGTCCTTTTGCTCAGAATGATTTCGACTACTTGTGGTCTTTGTTCATTCCAGATGAATTTTAGGATTTTTTTTTTCTATTTCTGTGAAAAACTCTGAAGGATGTCATTGGTATTTTGATTGTGATTGCATTGAATTTGTAGATCACTTTCAGTACTATGGCTGTCTTAACAATATCAATTTTTCCAATCCATGAACATGGAAGATCTTTACATCTTCTATTCTCTAATCTCTTTCTTCACTATTTTCCAATTTTCACAGTAGCAATCTTTCACCTCCTTGTATAAGAAACACTGATTTCTTTCTCAGTCCATTCATTACTGATATATAGAAAAGCTATTGATTTTTGTATATTTATATTGTATCCCTACTACTTTGCTGAATTTATTTATCAGTTTGAGTCCTTTGGTGGAATCTTTAGGGTTTTCTCAGAATAGAATTGTATTATCTGCAAATAGGGATAATTCAACATCCTCCTCTCTTATTTATATCACTTTATATATTTTTCTTACCTAATTGCTCTGGCTAAAATTTCAAGCAATGTACTGAATGAAAGGGTTGAGAATAGATACTCTATTTCCTGATTTTAGAGGAAATGCTTTCAGTTTTTCCCCATTCAGAATGATGATGGACATGGGTTTATCATATATAGTTTTTATTATAATAAGGTATCTTCTTTCTATATCTAATTATTCAGAACTTTATCATGAAGGACTGTTGAGTTTTACCAAGGACTTTTTCTGCATCTATTGAGATGATCATGTGATATTTATTCTTGATTCTATTTATGTGCTGTATTACATTTATTGATTCATATATGTTGAGCCATCATTGCATCCTGGAAATGAAACCAACTTGATCATGATATATACTCTTTTTAATGTGCTGTTGAATTCCATTGGAAAGTATTTTATTGAGGATATATATCATCTATGTTCATCAGGGACATTGGTCTATAGTGTTTTTGTTGTTGTTGTTGTTGTGTTCTCATCAAGTTTTGGAAACAGGGTGATACATTGTAGAATGAGTTTGAAAGGGTTTCTTTCCCTTTTAATTCATGGAATAGTTTGAGGAGCATTGGTGGGTAGTTATTTAAAAATCTGGTAAAAATTCATCGATGAATCTGTCTGGTTCTTTTACTGTTTTGTTGGGAAACTCTTTATTACTGTTTCAATCTCATTGCTTATTATTGATCTACTTAGATTTTTTAATGTCCTATTGGTTTGATTGTGGTGGGTCATCTGGGCCCAGAAATTTGTTCATTTCTTCTAGATTTTCCAGTGTATTGGTGTGTAGTTTTACTCAATATTCCTAATGCTCCTATGAATTTTAGTGCTATGTGTCATATTATCCTTTTTTCATCTATTTATTTGTTTGGGTTTTCTTTCTTTCTTTCTTTTGGTTTAGCTAAGTTTTTGTCAGTTTTGTTTATCTTTTCAAAGAACCAACTTTTAGTTTCATTGATCGTTTCTATTGTTTTAGTCTCTATTTCATTTATTTATATATTTATTCATTATATTTATTCATTTATTTCCTGTTCTGATATTTATGATTTATTTCCTGCTACTGATTTTGGATTTGGTTTGCTCCTGTTTTTCTAATGCCCTGAGAAATATCATTAAATTATTTGTGGTTGCTGTGGTGATTTTTTTAATGTATGTACTCATAGTTATAAAATTACATCTTAGTACTGCTTTCATTGTACTCCTGAAATGTTGGTAATTATGCAATCCTGGCTGAGTCATAAAGAATTGAGTGTATGTCTTAGTTGTGATTATTGATCCTGAGTATATCTTAGTTTAAGTTTCCTATGTTGTGAAACAGGAATATTTGGTTCTTTGAGAATTTGATAAAAGTAGTCCTGAGTGATTCATTTCAGATTATAATGACAACTTTTATTACTACTTAAGTTTTTGTTTTTATTTATTTTTAAAGTTTTTGGTACTGGGGATTGAACCTAGGAGTGCTTTACCACTGAGTTACCTTCCCAGTTACTCCCTCTTTTTTTTTTTTTTTTTTTTTTTTTTTTAATTTTTGAGATGATTTTGCTTAGTTGCTGAAAGTGGCCTTAAACTTGTGATCCTTTTATCTCAGCCTCCTGAATTGCTGGGATTCTAGGCATATACCTCCATGCCTAGCATATTAGATAAGGTTTTAGAGGGAAAGTAAGAAAAGAAAAACTTGGAAGTGAACATTCAACTCTCTGTACCAAAGTAAGATGACTTTCTTCTTTTTTAGAGTCCTGCCAAATATCACAAAACCTGGACATTATGAAGGAAAAAGAAAATAAAGGATTTTTTAGTTTTTTTCAACGTAGTAAGAAAAAGAGGGAGCAAGTAAGTATTTTCTTATGCAATATCTTAGAAGAGTCTTCAAATCTTGTATAAAATAAGTGGTTTTTATCTTGAAATTGCATATAGACATTGTCTTTTTCTTATTAGACTGCAAGTGCTCCTGCAACCCCTCTAGTAAATAAGCACCGCCCAACTTTTACAAGGTCCAATACTATTTCCAAACCATATGTTTCAAACACCCTGCCGTCGGATGCACCCAAGAAGAGGCGTGCTCCATTGCCTCCAATGCCAGCATCTCAGAGTGCCCCTCAGGACCTTACAAATATCCAGGCGAGGCCAGCTTCTTGTGTGGTGAAATCCACAAGTGTGGAGGAGACTGATAAGGTGAGTAGGTTTTTTTTCTTTTACAGGATGAGACAAGGTTACCTAACTTGTCTTTTTTCACACAGACCCCCAAGAAAGTTAGTGACAGTTATTAATATGTAATAACATGAATAAATACTTAACTAAAATTGGTACTGGGAAAAGATTATATGTAGTTTGATGCAATGAAGAATAAGTTGCTATTTTAAGGAGCTTTTTTTCCAAGCAAATAGCTGGTCTATAAACATTAAGTATTAATGCATATATTACAGATGAAAATGCTTATTTTCAAATGAAAATGTTTTTAAACAACAGTCTTTGTGCTAATTCATGGGCTTCTAATTTGTATATCTTCTTGATCTAATTTTGAGATTCTGCAGAGGAAATACTGGTGTCTACCTAAAATCAATACTCTGTTTTTTAAAATGAGCCTTTTAATAGAACATATTGTGATTACCTTTATGTGTTCTTATGTTCAAAGCATTGTTCTGTGTGTACCTTTTCCTTTAAGCTTTATTTTTATTATTATTCCTTTTTATTGTCTTATTTTTACTCCCCTATTATTATTGGTTCCCTTTAATCCTAAATTTGGGAATCTATTAGCAAACAACATTTTATGACTAAGCAATCTGTACATTCTTGCTTTATTCATGTGGAAGGTAGGCGAATTTTCAAGTAAATGTGATTGAACATAAGATGATGTATTATGTTGCTTGTAATCACACAATGATTTAAATGACTTTGAGAGCAATTTTTATTTTGAAGTATTCAAGACAACAGGTGGTCTTCTCATATCTGGTTGAAGGATTTTATTTTCTTCTCAGAAGTTTAGTAAATTCTAGCCTCAAGAAATGAACTCTTCCCATGCACCTAATATGCATTTGGGTACTTTCTTAATTTAAAAAAACCCAGCAACTTGATTATATTTTTTTGTAAACTATCATGTGTGTCTTTAGAACATAGCAATTTGAATAGAAACACATCTTTAAAGAAATGCTTAATGAAGTTGTTACTTAGAAAATCAACTCTCTTATTTCTATTAAGACTTGTCTAATTTAATGTTTGTGGTATAAAATCTCATAAATCAGGATTTTTTTTTCCTATGATGGAGTCATTTTTCTGACAAAGTTTTCCAGAGTTACAGCTTGGTAGTTGAGTGAAGCTTTGCAGAAGAGGTGATCGTTGAGTTCAGTCTTAAAATGAGTGTGGGAGTCCATCAGTCAGGTGGAGGACCCTGTCCAGAGATTTGGATTCTGAATACAATGGCTTGCCTGGGTGTGTGCAAGGAACAGATTGAACCAGCAAGGAAATCTAGAACCAAGTCAGGGTCAAAGACTTCATTTTGTGCTTGTAGCTGCTTTGCATTTTTTCATAGCAAAAAAGCATTTTGAGGATTTTTTTATACTTGTATTTACCCTAAAATTACATCCTAAGTGTGTAAATTATCATACTCTCAAGTAGTTACCAAAGCATCTTTTTTCTGTATATAGAAATCATCATAGCCCCTGCTTATAAATCTTTCTTCTGGATGTCCTCATTCAATCCATTCCAGTGAACTTCTTTTGTACTTGGATCCCCAGGAGGTCTAGGTTGTCTCTTAAAATTCTGGACTGTGCTACCAGTGACCTCACTGAAAGTTATTTCTTTGATTCTCAACCTCTGCTCTATGACCACTTGGTGCCCTGTGTTAAGTAATCTTTTTTTAGTATGTTGCCTTTGGCAAACTACACATCTTTATATAATTTTCTAATTATTTTTTCTTTTGATCTGGACATCTGGATAGTTCTTTGATGTATTGTTCAGCAGAACCCAGAATTATTTGTTTTTCCCTAGAGAAGCTGAAGAAACATTTTTTATTTATTCATTACAAAAGTGTATGTATGCAAACACATGACTCTTGGTTGCCTAGGCATCTTAGTGCCTTTTCCTTACATTCCTGGCCATATTTGATGTGAATAGCCACCCTTTGGTCCTGATTTTTCTATCTTCTGCTGCATCTCACTGTGTACCTCAGTACCTTGCACAGATCCAGGAGGAGTCAGATTTTTTTTTTTTGTTGTTGTTGTTGTTTTTAATAGGGATTGAACCAATGATGCTTTATCACTGAGCAACATCAAAAGCCCTTTTATTTTTAATTTTGAGACAGCGTCTCACTGAGTTGTTGAGGCTGGCTTTGGGCTTGCAATCTTCCTGCCTGAGTCCCTGGGATTACAGGTGTATACCATGGTACCCTGCTAGGAACCAACTTCTTATACTTTAATCCCATTCTGTTTTTATTTTCCTTGCTGTCACTCTTTCACCCATTGTCTGAATTGGAGATACCTGAATTCATGGTTCACTATGTTCACTCTACTTTTTAGGAGGCAGCACATCTGTTCTTTTGTTAAATCCATGGGCTGATAATTTTCACTATGTGATTTTAATAGTGTCCCCCTATGTCCAGGTCCTAAATAAATGAAGTCATATTTAAAACTAGTGTTTTGTAAATGTACTTATGGGTGTAGAGATGAGAGTATCTTGATTTTAAGTTAGACCCAAATCCACTGGTGAGTATGCCAATGATGAGTCCAGAGAGAAGGCACGTAAGGTGAAGATGAGGCAGAGGTGGTGTCATGCTACTGCATGCAGCTAAGGAGCACCAGCAGCCAGCAGAAGCCACGGGATCATTGCCTTTCCAACACCTTGCTTTTGGATTTCTGGCCTTCCAAACCATGAAAGAACAACTTTGGGTTGATCTAAGCTACTCAGTCATGGTAATTTGTTATAGCAGTTCTAGGAAACCAATCTATCAGTAACTCCAATTGTAACTCCAATCCTGGTATTCTTCTGGTTGTACCTTGAACTCACTGTTACTTAGTGATTCATTATACCTGTAAACCAGCATATTTAAAACCAAAATCATTTTTTCCCTCCTAGACTGAAAAGCTAAAGATCATCTTTGACTTTTTTCCTTATTCTTTCACATCTACTTAGAAACCAATTCCTCACATAGTCACCCTTCATAATGTCTTCCATTTCCTTTGCTGAAGTCATTCCTAAGAAAATCTAGGCAGACTAAGGTGAGAAATAGCATTGAACTTGTCCTCAGGATGCTCTAAATGAAGCAAGCTGCCACATTTCTATTTGTTAATTATCACTTCCCAGTTCAGAAACCTCAGTTTGCTGTGATTGATTTTCTGGGTCTCAAGTTTCTTTACAGACTGATCATAACTTTTTAAACTCTTAATCCTCGTCATTTCCAGGATGCTTTTAACTCTGACCACAAGATTTGACTTATTGTCTCTCATGTGAAATCCTGCTTCCTTTCCTTTCATAATTGAATGGCCCTATTGCACTTACGAAAGTGTATGTATGCACACACATGAATTCTTGATTGCCTAAGCATCTCAGTGCCTTTTCCTTACATTCATTCCTACTAACTCATTCAGTGGATCCTTTTTTTTTTTTTAACTTAAGAATTTTTTTTTTTCAGATTTTAGCATAGAATACTTTTTGCTTTCTCTGAACATGTCTCCCTTGTGCCTTTTTATATTTTATGTATATGTTTAGGTAGTATATTCATATATTACATAATGCTAAAGATAAAAAGGGGAATACAGTGAAAATCATCCTTTTCTGCTATGTCCTCAACTAAATTCTTCTGCCCAAGGGCAACCAATATCGACGGTTCGAGTATCTTTCAAGAGATAATGTATGCACATTCAAGTCAATACTCATACTACCTATTGTTCTTTTCCCGTGGTCATGTGCTACTTACACCATGTTATTCCTCACTTTTGGTACTTAATGATTCATTTTGGATATCCTTATTAGAACATAAAGGGCTTCCCTTGTTTAAAGATTGAATAATATTACATTGATGGATATAACAGGATTTAATTATCCTGTCCTCTAAAGATAAATATTAGGGTTAAATTGTTATTGTTTAACAATTTAAAGCTCTGTTAAATTTTCCTTTTGTCCTCTTCCAACTATAGGGCAGGAATTGTATTCTCCAGCAAAATCCTATAACACTGTAGGTATTCAAGAGAATTGGTGATATAGTACAGAGAACTGACAAACATTAATAAGTAGAGCTTCCACATACCCAAGTATATTATATACAATGAGAATTTGTCATATCACAAAATTTTAGTATTTCATTTTTGTATTTGGTGAATTTTCTGAAACACTTAGATAACATAGGTTGCTTATATTTAGTTTTATAGTAACTGGACCACATGGCTTTTAGCAATGTTTTCTTAAGCTTTTACAGAAAATCCAGAATTTTGACAACCTTATATTTAAAAATCAAGGATGAACAGCTAAAACATTATATTATATATTACACTGTGCATATAAATATAATTAACCATTGGATTGACATTACTTATATACAGACATTCAGAAAATTCAGCAAAGCATATCAATTACTTAGTTTACTGATTACTTGCTGAGGCTGATCTTGAGCTTACAATCCTCCTGCCTCAGCCTCCTGAGTTACTGGGATTACAGATGCCACCACTCCTGGCTGAACTTTGAATTTTAACAAGTCACTATTTTATGTGTTTGAAAGTATAGGCTTGTTGGGGAAAATGTAACTGGAAGAAAAAAATATTTGTACAAATCTGTTCTTAAGTATGCAAAGAATTTTAGATACACTTATATCCTATGATTTTCATTGTGATGCAAAATAAACCACAAGGGTGCACTGTTTAACAGAAGTACAGTGTTGTAATCTTTTCCATTTTTTTTTTCTTCCAAACTATACTAAAGCAGAAAGAAAATATTGGAAATATTTACGTTATATTAGAAATACAAATGCTTACTTTGTATGATGAGTAAAGTGACAAAAAATGGAGTAAGATAAGTATCAGTAATGTCTGACAGTGATTTATAATTAGCAGTTTTATCCATTTTGAGCTTTGAGTTCATTTTAGTGTTCTTTTAAAGTCACTAATACTATGTTTGCCACAGTCAAGGCTTACCAATAAGTTAGTTCATCTGTATCTTGAAAAAAATTGTCAAACACATCTCTTTTA